GGACGAGTGACTGCATGGGGTGTCGCCGTTGCAGCTTCTTCCCGCCGCACGTACCCGACATCGAGGTGGATAAATGCTCTCGAGGAGGAAGATGACGTGCTACATGGAGGCGAGCCCCGCGCGCAGCGACCCCTGCGTGTTTTTGATAGCGCTGGGTCTGCCTAGGTCTGCCTGCCTCGCACAAGCGCGCAGGGCGAACGATTTCGCGCACCTACAGCCATGGTCATGGCCACGCCCACGTCCAGTACGACCGGCCATAAATGCATAAACGAGGGTCCGCATGCCCTTCGCCCCGGCGTTTACCTCCCCATGGCGCGCCCTCCTTGAGCTGCACCCCGACTTGGCCAGGCAGCTAGCACCACCGCCCGCCAACCGCCCGCGCAGAGGAGCGCCACGACCGGGCATCGCGCATCGGCATCCCCTGCACGTACCCGCACGCGCTCTGACTCCGCCCCGCGCACTTTCCGCGCCGCACCGTACGCTTCCTTGGTCGCCGGCGCTCGGCGCGTCCACGAGCCTGAGACTCCGTGCACCCTTCCCACCGGCTTCGATCCGGACCTGGACTAGAGCAGGCCAGCGATGGCGCGCGCGCTACACCGCGAATCGGGCACAGGGCTGCTTCGCCATCGCGCACTGTCTTCTCCGTCTGCTCCCCCTCGCGCGTGACGAGGCGCAGCACACCCTTCCCCTGCTCTGCTCGTCCTTGGCAGCGAGCTGCATACCGATATCATATACCCTTGACGAGGGATGGTGCGCCGCGGGCCATTCCCTCCGCTCGTGGGCTCGGACTCGCTCGACATGTTTGGTCGAAGGGACCCGGCGAGGAATCAAAAGCGGGCAAATCGCAGATAAGACACGAGCAAGCGGGTGTCGCATCTACCCATCCTCCACCTCCCACTCATCACGATTTACGGTTGCGACAGGTACGTCTTCACGTTTTCTGCGGCCCGGAGATTTACTGATTTCGCCCGTTAAGGTTCTTCATCCTGGGATCAATGGCCGCCAGCAGGACCGTGCGCCCGGAGCGGCTGCTTCCTCGAGGCTTCTTGTCATCGCAGCGGCTGCTGCGCCTGATGCTCGCTCACAGTCGAGGCGCGGTCGAGGCGCGGTCCGCGCGTCCAGTGGCTCGTCCTTGACACCAAGCTGCGTACCAATATCCTATAGCTCTGAGATGGGACGGCGCACCGCATCGTACGTGCTCGCACCCTTCCCTCGCTCGCAGACCTCTCGGTGTCTTCCGCATCCTCGTCCCCGTCTCGCGCGCTACTCAAAATCGCGCATCGGATCCCCGCACAGCTCGTCCCGATAGCAGGCTCAGAGCTGAGGCCCGCACTCGTCCCCTTTCCCCACGTTGCCGATCCTCTATCTCTACCGCCGCGCATTCAATTAACCACAACGCTCGTTCCCGACAGCGAGCCGCATACCGACATGCCTTTGAGCGGACGGCGCGCCGCAGCGGGGGAGTGACGTCGACACGGACCCATCCCATTCCCTGTTTCGCCCCCTTCCCTGTTTCGCTCGCAGGTGTCGTGTCCTCCAACTCGAGTTTCCGTTCCTGGCAGCGTATTACCCTCGCCGTCGCAGCTGCTCTTCCTGAGTACGGGCGAGGAAGTGGACGCGGTCGGGCTCTGGTGTACTGCGTCGCGTCCTCCAACTCGAGTTTCCGTTCCTAGGCGGCGTATTCGGCTCTTGCCGTCGCAGCTACGCTCTTTCCTGAATACGGGCGACGAAGTGGACGTCGTCGGGTTTGGCCACCGATTACTTGACAAGCGCGGCTTTGAGTGTGCTGAGTATTGTCCGAAGCGGCGGTGAGGAGAGGGCGAAGAGTGGGTGGGGAGAAGCGGACGAAAGAGAATGACTGGCGGTGGGGGTAGGGTGCGCCGGTGCGAACAATCGTCATCCGGCGGTACTCCCCCTCTCGATCATGCTGCCGTCCGTTCACAGTGGGACGCCCGTCCTTGCAAAGAGCCCCCCAGCCGGCGGGAGCTCGTAGTCTCGGCGCGGTGCGCTTTGTCATCGACCGCGTATAGTGCTACTGGTGGTCTTAGTCGAAGGCTCGCATTATGTGCCTCATCCCCCGAGCCCGCTATGCGGATCTACCTCCCGTCTCAATATCCCTGCGGCGCGGAGTAGATGGAGCATAGCGTTGGCTATTGCTGCGCCCCGTACTATGAGAGGGGCGCGCAGCTCTTGCGAGCGTGTCATCTCCCCGACCCGCGCGCAAAGAGTCTCGGTGACACCAACGTATCGCCGCGGACGGTCTGTCCGCTCTTCACGCCTCGTGTTTTCTCTGCACCTCGTGTTTTCTCTGGACCTGGGCTTCATGACGGGTTATCGCAGGTCCAATGCCCCCGGGTCCGCATCCGTCCCGCCTCTGGTGGGACCGTCCGCCCTGCCTGTGGTCGCTGTCGAGGCCGCCACCCCACACGGCGCATCTATGCATTTGGTCAAAAACACGCACCGCTGGAGGCGTCTTGCTGGGCACCTCGACCCGTCTGACAACACAGCGTAGTTTTCATCAGTCCTGCCCTGGTCCCGCCATCCCGTCGCGTCCACCATATCCTTTCAAATCGGACATCGTTCTCAGTGCACTCGCTTCAAGCCGTATCGTCCCATGACGTCGCTTGCAGTGCTGTCGTCCACCGTCCACTCGCACGATGTGCTTTGCATGCCCTCTGGCTCGTAACGGTGGTTGGTTTCACGATCCAGTGGCTGTCGAAAAGACCATGTGTTCCTGACACGGTAGCTGCGGTACTCCTTCTTGTCCCTGGGGACCGAGGGGGCTTCGCCGTCGTATCGCGCTTGTTTTCTGTCGCTTTGCCACTTGGTGACAGAGTTTTTTGGGGTCGCTTGAGCTAGCCCTAACCCTATACTAGCCCTAACCCTATTGGACGGTCGCGGATAAGTATTGTAGCTCCGTTTGCGATTGAACCAGTGATTGATTACCTTGCAAAAAAAAACTACACAACTGCTGGGAACAGCGGAAAGGGAATGGGAAAAAAACCTCTCTCCATTCTTTAGTAAGGCCCACCCCCGACTCGAACAGGGGTCCCGCAACACTCTAGTGGGTGCGGACGGTGCGGATCGTCCGTGTCCGCTATTAAGCTTTCCTTCTCATATTTTCTGCCCTAGTTTGTGAGAGGCAAAAGATCCAAACGACTGCGGCTGAGCTGCGAAGAGTTTTACTTACCCGAGTTGAAGAAAAAACAACACGACAGAAAAGTCCATAAACATCCGTCAACGATCCCGTCTCAGTACTAGTGAGGTTTCGCGGTATACCGTACGAGAGCAAGATGCCAAGACCCAGTCACGGATGGCCCGCAACTGTAACCTGTGGATATCGATACGGCGTATTTGATTTCTGCCTGCGGGAGCGTTCGAATCGAGCCTGGGCAATCGACGAGTTCGACGGACCTCTTTTTTGAGTCGTTTCCGGGCAGTTCTGATCGAGCGGCTGTACGTTCTTCTGTTCCTGTGCCTACCTACACACCTTGCCGTTTAGGTTGGGAACAGCTCAGAAACTGCGCACGGCAACTCGTTGAAACTTGCAAGCCTTTGCAGTTGAGTTGCAGTTAAGTCTGGCCAGATCCCGCCAATTGCGATCTCGACGGTCGCAGAAACTTTTTGAACCTCTTCGCAGGGATTGTATGTCCCGCAGCAGTTTGCGCATTATGCCACATACTCTTCTAAGTAAGCTTACTCACTTACAAGGTTTCTCAATGAACCGTTGATGAACCGTGAAAAAACGACATCTGATGCATCAAATACTGATTTTCTAACTCGCGCAAGCATCGGCTATAGAAGCTGGTCCGTGCGCGGAGGTAACGTATATAAGGCTCGCCCCATTTCCTGAGCAACTCATACTTACCTTGATGGCATAGGCCCCTTCACCTCCCTGGGTCTGTGGGCCGTAGGAACACTCCATAGCACGGCGACCCTGTCCATACAGAGTGCGCTTGCGGCTTGTATGTGCTTAGGTGCATGCACCGTCTCAATATTTTCCAGTTCCACCACGGCCACTCGGCTGGGTGGACCATTTTTTTTTCGCTCTTTTGGGCGCTTAACCCTAACCTTAGTGTACGATCAAAATATATCGCTTTGACCACCTGGATTTGGATGTGAGAATCGCACTGGTCGTTTGCCTGTTCTTGAACCTTGCGTTTGCAGACTTTTACACCTGCTCTTCGAGCCCTTGATTTCCCTTCTAAAATGTACCCGGGCCTGGGATCCGCAGGCAGCATTACCATGAAGATGATCAGTTCGAGTTGCATCAAGTTGAACGTTTTTTTTCAGCAGAGGGCCATCGGCCGGAGTGCGACCACTTTTCATCACTGCCCCACTGAAACCTGCGGCCTTTCCCCCCTCTCTCAGATTGGACCACCAATTGCATACATTTGATTCACAAGACTAAACACCAGTGCTAATAATGAACGACACTCAAGACCATGCAAGGCCTTTTCAGAAAAGTGCAAAGCGGCACGAATCGATTCGCTGATTCATTTTCCTGCATGAGAGGAGCTTCAAGGGCGAGTGTTGGCGTAAATTTGATGAAGCGTCGGAGTCGCAATCAAAATTGCTTGCCTGAGAGACTGTGCGCAACAAATTGTTATTGCTGTTGTCATTCTGATTGAAGCGGTGGGTGAGGCAAATTGATCAAAAAAGGATCTTGAACACCGTTTTCATTCGGACGCCGGGAATTGAACCTGGATCTCGCACGGTAGAGGACTTCCAACAGATCTTGTCAGTCTTCGCACGTGTGCGCCGTGCACCACATCCGATTCATTCTCCTCCACGCGAGGAGCTACGAGGGCGAGTGTTAGTGTAAACTTGATGGTGGGTTGAATTTCAGAGCAAGTCACCGCATGAAATATAAAGCGCTTACCGCAGCGCTGGGTTGTAAGGCATCCTTGCGGCTTCGATGTCTGGCTCTCCGGGTGTCACAGACGCGCCACTGGGATGAGCAATGGAAGCAGACAATACAAAGAGGGAGATCTCTCCGATTCGGACGCCGGGAATCGAACCCGGATCTCCCGCAGTAGACGGTTTCGTCGAAAAGCTTGTTAGTCTCCGCAGGTATGCACCATCCACCACGTCCGAACTATTCTCCCGCATTTGAGGAGGGCTATGAAAGTACCGTATGGTCAGCGCTTTTCCTTTGTGCTGGGCAATTTGAAATTGGGAGGTGAAACTGAGCTGTACGCGTGAAAGATAATTGTCCGAGATATGTACTTGTCCGAATGCTCGCAGCATCCCTTGGACCAAAAATGAATGGTCAAAATTCCGGATTCAGACGCTGGGAGTCGAACCCAGTCTTCCAGCATCATGGCTTCATCGCGATATACAGCAAATGAAGCTGGTGTACGCCGTGCACCGCGTCCGAGTTCTCGTCTGATACGAATGACGGGTAAGAAGGTATCTTTCAATACGGGCTTGAAAGGTAGCCTGCGACAGGAAGTAAGAACAGCGACAGAGTTCTGGTGCGTACCGCGTGGAGGTCGAAAAATGATACGGAAAAAAGCTTTAGAGGGTTGGATCAGAACAGTGAGCAAGAAGAGCGAAAAAAAAGCACCAAAGATGATCCGCAAATTCGAACGTCGGGAATCGAACCCGGTCTCCCGCGTGAACGTTGACGAGTGCCTCTATTGACGATGTACTATTGTTAGCGAGAGTGCGCCATGCACTACGTTCGAGTTGTTTTTTAGCGCTAGCGGCGGGTTAGGAAGGGACGTTCTCGGGCTTAAGACGCGGTTTGGGGGTGTAATTCGTGGAGATTGACCCGATAACTTGAAAACGGCAGGTGTACGAGCAGAGTCGTGGAGGTATAACGCTGGACGGGCGCACGGAAATGGCCCAGCATTCATGTTTGCTTAACCACGGCACCTGTTAGTATTTTTGGATTGGGCCAAAAGTTAAAACAAAAGAGTGGTTGAGGTTCGGGCCATTCGAAGGCCGGGACTCGAACCCATTCTCCCGCGGACAAGCAAACAGATCAACCTCGTATTGCCAGCGGGTGTTCACCGCGCCACAGCCGAGTGTCTCTGGACTCTTGGTGCTGCGTTGGTACTGCGTTAGACAGGACCTTCTTGGCAAGTCGTGGTTCGAAGGCCGTGGAGTCTCCTTTGAGATTGAGAATCTCTTTGAATCCGCGAAGTGGCAAGCTGCAACAGTAAAGATCCGTTGAGTGGAAGCAGGGCGTTTGCGAGAAGAGCCTGGATAGTTCGCAGGAGTTCGGATGTAGGATGAGATCTAGAGAGGCAGACCTTCACCAGGCAGGTCGAAAGTCCAAAGCAAGAGAGGTGAAAGTCGAAAGCAAGAGACGGCCCGGAAACGGCCCGGGCCGATGATTGTTCTTTATTTACCTGCAGCTTCCCGCCTTCAACTCTCCACCACGTCATGTCTGCGCTCAAAAGAAGCCTCTTTCGCACTCCACCGTTTTATACAAAAAGCCTAGCGTCCATGCAAGATGAATAGCAATTCCCTTCCGCAATCGCTGCTACTTCGAATTCTTGGCCGCAAGCAGAATCGCAGGAAAACGACTACCTTGATCAGGAAACGCCAGGATGAGAACTACAGGTCCATCCCCCCCTGCCCTGGTACCCACCATCTCTTCTGGTGCGCTCCCTTCGACGCCCGCGAGCGAATGGGCCGCGATTACGAACGATGTACTCAAAGAGCACGTTACAAGCACGCCTGTCGATTCCGAGGTGTCTGGCGGCCTTGCTGAGCCCCAGTCCAACTCTCCATGGCCGGCAGATGGGGAATCCGCGAGTGGCAACGACGGAAATGACGCGAAGGAAACATCTTGGACAACGACATCGTCCACTTATCCCACCATGAATGACGGTACGTCTCTGTGGGCGTTTAGTCGCGACTGTGCTGATTTCATCCATGTAGCGTCTTCATCGCTATCCCGATTCGGATCCGACTCCTTCCCGTCCGCTTCCTCATGCGTTTCGTCGGACTCAACGGCGCAGGAAGCCGTGGAAAGCACCGCTGTCAATATAGGACATGGGGACAGCTCAGGCAGCAGCGCGAGGATGCAATGGCCTGTGACTCGGGATCCGCATTTCGCAAGCAGCTCAGCACGATTGTCCGTTTACCCTACCACCAATACATCCTCGATGAGGCGGCCCCGTGCGTTTTTCTCGCTGTGCTTCGCTAGACCGCATGCTGATTTTTTCCGCTAAGCCTCTGCATCGACATCCGGATCCGCATCTGAGTCGTTCGCGGACCCATCGTCGGGCTTATCTACGCACTCGACGGCGCAGAAAACAATCGAGAGCACTGCCGCCAATATTGGACACGGGGACACCTCAGACGGCAGTACGAGGATGGAGCGGCCTGAGACGCAGGAGTCATACTTCGCAAGCAGTTCCGTCCCTTTGGCCACTCATCCTCCCCCGAATAACACGGATACCTCACCCTCATCGCAAGAGCTTGGTGCGTTGTCTAACTGCGTTTGGTACAAAATATGCTCACCATCTCCTTGCAGCTTCTTCGTCGTCATCCCAATCAGGAGCTCAGACGTTCGCGTCCTACTCGTGGTGCGCTTCGGATTCGGCGGCCCAAAGCACAATCGGGAGCACTGCCGCCAATATTGGACACGGGGATACCTCAGACGGCACTGAGCGGCCTGAGACGCAGCATTCGTACCCTTTGTCCAATCATCCGAGCGCGGATAACTCGGCCTCTTCTAAAGGGCTTGGTGCGTTGTCTGTCTGTGCTTGCCCGCAAAGGATGCTTATCCTGCCCATAAAGCTTCATCGTCGTCCCAATCTGGACCGCATTCTTTCGCGTCCCCCTCGGATACCGCTTTGTCTGACTCGGCGACGCACGAGACCATCAACAGCACCGGTGTAAATTTGGGACACGGACATGCCTACGGCCCCGCGCCTGAGCATCACCGCACGGAGAAGCTCGTCTCCCAGCCTCCGCATGGACGCTGGGCAGACAAGAGCGTGCACACATCCGAGTCAGGCTTCCAGCCCTTCCTGTCACCCCCTCTCTCCTCGGATCTCTCCTTTGTCTCGACGGCGCATGAGACCATCGACAGCACGGCCGTCGAGATCGGGCACGGGCACGGTACCTACCATGGCCTCGCGTCCAAGCATCATCTTACCAAGTCTCCCGTCTCCTCCGAGCCTCCGCCTACACGGGGCGCGGACGAGACCGTGCACCTGCTGTCGCGCTCCCAGTCCTTTGCATCGCCCTCTTCGGGCCCTTCCTTGGACTCGACGGCGCACGAGAGCATCGACAGCATGGCTGTCGAGATCGGACACGATAACAGCCGCGGCGCATATGGCTACGCCAGCGACGACCCTCCGCACGCGCACCGGGCGGACGGCGTCTCACGCACGCCGTCCCTCACCCCCGCAAACGCACCGCCCGAACGACGCCCTCCGCTCGTCGAATCACCGGCGCAGAGCCACGCCTCCAGCATGGCCGTGCATACGGGGCACTCTCTGCGCTCTTCGTCCTTCCCTATGTCGGCCTCTGCCTCCTTAGCATCCTCGGCGCCCGCTTCTCCAGACGCAGACGCAGACCTCCTCTCCGAACTCCACCTCGACTTCATCACGCGACCCGCGATGCGGAGCGACTCCACGGGGCTGAGCACGCGCGCGCATACGGGGCATCGGGGGTCGGTGTCTGCCGTTGCTGCGCGTCCTTCGTATGGTTCTCCTTCACCTTCTGCGACTTCTCATTTGCCTCCTACGTCTCCGGTTCCCACGAGCGTGTATCCCCTCGTAGACGGCGCACTCGTCGGCGTCGACGGCCATCGAGTACAGTCGCCGCAGCCGCTCGTCCCGGAGGACATGGACATGAACTTGTTCTTGCCGGAGGAGGGGAAGACGGGTGGGCATTGGAATCGATGCCCAGTGCGCTGCGCGGCGGTGGAGTGTAAGCACCGAGTCCGGGAGGGCGCGAGGCGCCCCCGCTTCATCCCCGACGGCGGGCTCGATGTGGATCTGGATACGGGGGTGGACATGGGCATGGGTATGGGCATGGGTATGGGTATGAATATTGCGGGGGACGGGGAGGCGGAGCCGGCGAAGGGGAAGGAGAAGGACGGGCATTGGAATCGCTGTCCGGTACGCGGCGCGGCGGTGGAGTGCAAGCACCGCGTTCGGGAGGGCGCGAGGCGGCCTCACCTCATCCCTGAGCGCGGGCTCGATGCGGCCATGCACGTCGCTATGAATACCGGCATGGCAGTGGCGGTGGCAAGGGGGAAGGAGCAGGAGCAGGAGGATGGGGTGAGGGAGATGGAGAACGAAGGGTGAGCAGTCGCATCGGTGCCCGGTGCGATGCGTGACGCTGGCGTGCAAGCATCGGGTGATGGGGGCTGGGGGCTGGGGGCAGGGATGAATGGAAGCAGTGGTTGGGGAAGGGAGGAAGATGCGGCGGCGGTGTGGCGACCGTGTGCGATGAAGGATAGCGTGCCTCGGTCACCGCCTAAGGGCGAGCGCACCGGCGTATCTACCCGTGCTTTCTCTGGACGTCGTCCACCACGTCGTGAGCCGTGCGCTCATGCCCCGGCGATCTCCCTCACCGTCCTGAACTTGCATTCATCGAGCCGACGCCGGTCCTTACGGTCCCCGCGTGAGGCTCTCCAGTCTATCGACGTTTGGCTCCCGCGACCTGGCACCTGGACGACGAGCGGTTTGTCAGACAAGGTGCGCTGCCTCTCTTTCCTCTTCCTTCTTACTTGTTTGCTCATGTCAGCTTAGGTCTTGCGCTCACTTGTCAACGACAGATGGCGGTCTCGTACTGCTGCAAAAGCCGGTCTCGTTATGCCCTCCCATTCATGGCACTCACGAGGGCGTGTACCGACCGACCTCGATGCTATCGTCAGCGCATCACACAGCACCCCCCGCCACCGGCAGCGGAAGTGTTCTGGTGCACATACATCGCTTGGAGACGCGCTCGCTATGCAGCATGCATCGGCTCGCATCTCGTAAACCCCTCGCTTTGCACGCCCGCCCACATTTTAAAAATGTGAACCGTATGGTGTTGGCCCTACTCACCAGTTAGCCTGTCACCCATGTACGTTGTCTGAGGCTACCCGGGTGCCGCGAATGCGAACGCCTTGCCCTCGCCCCCATGCGCCTTGCCCGACGCGCCCGTTAGCCGCCGTACTTAATCCGCCTCTTCTTTTCGCAAATTGCCCGTCTCCGATTTGTGGCAGCCCGTTGTTGTCCCATCGCAATCAGCATGCCCACTCGTACGATCGCGCGGTATCGGACCCTCTGATAGCCTGAAAAGTGCCAGCCGCTCGCCTGAAAGCACTTTTCGGGGTGTCCGCCTCTGCAGTTTGGCTCTTTTCCTGGCGCGTCTGGCTCAAAATGCACCCCACTACACTCATCGACGAAAAGCAGCGCGTAAAGACGCTCTTCTCTGGCAGCGACTGAGCATGCCTATGGCAGTCGCTCCCTGGTCTAATTTCCGTTGCGGAGTGCGAATGGACGACGAGGAGAATACGGGAGTCGCGTCGCATACGGCGTCAAGAGGAGGTGGTGCCCTTGAAGCCTCGTTGTGCAAACCTCATACCTATGCATGAACACGCGTCGCTTGTACCTCGTATCTTGTCTTGGAATGGCCTGCTATTCCGTCCCGGCGCGGGAGGCGAAGGGTCGCCGCCGCCGTGGGGGTGCAGTGCCTGGCGTTGGAGTGCCAAGCATTAGTGTGGTGCGGCGTCGACCAACTACGACTCAATTCCCGCTCGTGGGTCCGCTGTACCGCGCGCGTACGCATCAAAACATCCATCTCGTCCCGTATTCTGCTCCGACACTCGCTTGGCGTGCAGACGTACTGTCGATCGCGCTCGCGACGTCCGCCCGCGATTTATTGATCCTCCGAAGATGACTGCGGACGAGCGCTCGGCGCAACGTCTGGACGGTAGCATCTCCGCTTACGCGGCGTCAGCGATGCTTGGAACGGGATGGAAAGTTGATTGGAAGGGGTTGCATGGGGCGTGTGCGCGTTGCAAGTTTACTCGCCCTACGTTCCACGAGTACAGTTATGATACGTAGGTTAATTACAATATGTGTTTGCCGTCCGCAGCGCAATCCTTGACTGGTTAACTTCAAGGTGCTTTCCGTGAAGACTTCGACTACTACATGGAGGAATCATGAGGTTTGGAGGGCGTGACCATGATGTGAATGGTACGTGGAGTGTGATGACCCTCGCTCTCGTGGTCTAGTAGAATGATACGCGCTTTGGGCAAGTCCACTTGTGCGGGGTCCCGGGTTCAAATCCCGGCGAGGGTCTTTTTGCGGTCGATCTCAATGCCTTTCCGTTAATTCAGCAAGTTTTCGTTGTTCTGCTTGCGTAACAGCATTATAGTACGGTACGATGTACATGCTGCACGTCTACACGCCTACACCCCATTTCTTCAATAGCATTCCCACGAATCAAGAACTGTTGCCTATTCACATCCAGCATGAATCAAGTCTAACTATTAACAATGCACATTCGTGCAACTTGCTACTTATTTGTGCGCAGCCAACAGCCAACTGCAACGGGAAGGAAGTAATTGAACCCCACCAAAACCACAATAGTGTGTGGAAGTGGTTGATAATTCCAGGGAGGGGGTTGCACCCTCTACCAATGACATATTCCCTTTGAATTGCCCTGAACGGGCAGAGCCTGGACACCTGGGTGCAGTGCAAAACCAAATGTTGTACTAACAGATCACTGACAGATACATTTTTTTTGTGGTGTATAGCATGTGGTTTTGAGGGCTAGCACAGACGGTGGACCGGTAGATAAAATGGAATTAAATTAATTAAAACAATGTCAATAACTTGAATTCAGAATTGTATTGAGCGCGCGCCCTTTGTCACCGACCTTTGGTCACTCCTCCGGGCACGCAATCGGAATGGCAACCAAAAGGTACAAACAACGTTGAGCACAGACCCAGAAGCCGCAGAGTATCAGGACAATCACTGACACATTCACAAGTCGCGATTGAACCGTAGTCCGAAATTTTCTGGGTTAAGACACACTGAGATCACGGGTTTTGGATTTATTACAGGAAGGACAAGGAGATCAACGACCCAACTCCCCTAGGCTCTACACGTGTTTTGGATTTATTACAGGAAGGGCAAGGAGATTAACGACCCGGCTCCTCTACCCGTCGTCTGGGGTACAAGTATCTGGCTTAGTGCTATAACAGGAGTGTTCGGGATATCGACCAACATGAAGTCCTGGCTGGGATTGCCGAACAACCTCTTGCTGAGCCGACCTAGGGCTGACACTGACATTAACACATAATAATTGTAACACACCTATAGTGCTCGCAAGGTTCGGTTCGGTTCAGGAAGTTCAGGGCAATTTCTCTGAACCCCGAACCTGAACCCCGCGTTTGGTTCAGCAATTTACCGAACCTCGAACCGCAATGGTGTTCAGGTTCGGTCCAGTGTTCGAACAGGGTTCGAACAGGGTTCGAACAGGCACCAAATCGGGCATCTCGGGGACCCCACGTTCTCGGCGGCGGCTCTTCAGCAACTCTTTATCCATGCTAGGATTCCAACTGCAGGCATTCCACCAAGAATTAAACAGAATTCCACAGGTTTGGACCCAGTTTTCAGTGGGCTTTTGGTTCCCACATCCGCAATGTTGCACAGTGGAACCTGAAATGGCATACAATCATCGGGGGTAATCTGTAAATTGTTGAATCCAAGCACCGTAATTTGGGAGGCTCCAAAAGTCAGTGGTTGCTCCCAAAATAACCGCTGATTTTCTACCCTTTCAGGTTCGGAGTTCGAACCAAGTTCGAACAGATGTCAAAGTACTGAACACCGAACCTGAAACTGGTGCTCGGTTCGACGCTACCACAAACCTTGAACTAAACCTCGCGTTCAGCTCGGTTCGGTTCAGGTTCGAACCAATTTCTGAACCGGACCTTGCCACCACTACGCACCTAGTCCAAAAAGAAGAAACTCTGAGGATCACACGCCAAGCTGTGAGTGTATATAGCTACTGTACAGAGACATGTGACCGAAGTGATTGGCAGAGATCCCGGAGGGGTGTCGGAAGGGAGTCTGACAGTCCTTGTGTTCCAATGATTGGTTGATTCTTTGTTGACCTCTCGGGGGATGCAAACTGGTGAGCATCATATAAATGCATGCACATGATCATTGAAGGATTTATCCAGCGCGCGGTGAGTCTTTCGTAGATTTATTCCACAAAACCAAAACACAACAGAAATTGCGATTGGTGGTCTTTGGCCACCTATTCGCCAGACGTCGTTGATAACTCACCTCCGAATTGGTGTAGGGGTTAACATTGCCGCCTCTCAATAACGTAACGTGCACTGCGCCAGTAATCGGGTCGCGGCAGCCCGGGGTTCGATTCCCCGATTCGGAAGATGTTTTGGTTGTGCTAGCTCTTTTTATCCTGGTCGTTTTTATCAGATGCATCTCGGTCGAAAGATCCTCAATTGCATGCCGTTCGGCCCATTAAATTGAGTTTCACTTTAACAAAGTACACCCAGAAGTTGCCACAGCAGCAGTTTTTAAATACCAGCATTTTTCTCTCAGAATCTCGAATATACCTGTGAGCGCAGAATCCACATTCTCGGAATTGGATACCAATAGGATATTTGTGTGTGCACCATCTTTGCTCTATGAAATCAAGCCCTTGTGTGCTCACATCCTTTAGTTACCTAAATCACCTGGATCTCCGAGTCTATGAACCGTGCAAGGACTCTGTTGCAGGCAACCACATCCATGCTGGGTGTGCGGCTTCAACCCTTCCACTTTTCTGTCCTGCAACGGCCCTCTTGCTATGCAGACCGTTTTCCGAGGCTCCCAATTTTTTAAACCTCAAGTGTGACCATACATGCCGTGCACTGGTTGGACTATTCAAGTTTTTTGAAAAGATCGGTGAGAAAAAGTTTGGATTCTACACCAACTTTTCAGTAAAGCTGAAGGACTTTTTCACTGAAAAAAACTCAAATAGTTCAACCAGTGATGTAATTGTAAAGCAGAGTGGTGGTGCATACATACTTAGCTTCCAGTCCATTTTGTCTCTGTTTCTTGACTTCAAGGAGTATATGTAATCAGCCTCTGAGTCCTCAACAATTCCTGCCCCAACGCGCGACTTTCGGACTTGAGTTGTTGAGTCGACGCGATTAAATCACGTGATGGGAAACGTGCGATGTCGTGACATTTCCTCTTTCGGCTGTACCGCTCCTTCGTTTCTCAAAGTTTCATCCATGGGCACTCTAGCGACGGTGAACGAGCTGCTGGCGGGCAGCGTCGGCGGCGCTGTACAGGTTCTGGTGGGCCATCCGCTTGACACCATGAAGACGCGCGCACAGATCGCCCCAAGTCCGTGCCGCGTTACATGAGTCATGACTCAGAAGTCGAGAATTCTAACGGGCTTCCGCATGACAGAGGGGATGTTCGTGAGTTTCTTTCAACGTAGGCTGTGTCCGGAAAAATTGATTGCAATGGCGGACAGAAAGGGCCGATGGACATTATAATGCAGACTGTGCGCAAAGAGGGATTTCTGGCGCTCTACAAGGGTGCGTGTGACAGCGAGATAAAGAGTTCGTTATGTACGAGTGCTATAGGAATGGCAAGTCCTCTTCTTGGTAGCGCCGGCGTCAATTCCCTTTTGTTTGCATCCTACGGCGTATCACAGCGGATAATATCGCCATTCCCGCTATCGCTGCCCGAAGTCGCACTTGCTGGCAGCATGGCAGGCGTCGCCACCGCAATACTTGCCAGCCCCGGTGCGCTATCGATTAAAGCCTCAGATTTTTACTCAAACCATGGACTGCAGTGGAGATGTTCAAGGTAAGGATGCAAGGCCAGTACGGGGACAAGACCGACAAACGCTTGCGAGCAGTCGCGCGCGAGATGTGGGCCGAGTGGGGCTTCCGCAAGGGCATAATGCGCGGATATTGGGTATGTTTCCTCCCATCCCATTGCTTTTTGGCTCATTGTCTTGTACGCAGGTGACCGTCGCGCGCGAGATACCTGCCTACGCAGGGTGCATACTCGCATCTATGGACCGATTCTGAACTAAAACCTCGTTCGGTCTAGATTCTACTCAGGCAGGGACTTGAATTGTTCGAACAGACGTCGCGTTGACAGGCACTCTAGCGTATGAATTTTCCAAGCGAAAATTTATCGCCAAATACGGCGACCAGCTGCCCGTGTGGACACTGTTAGCCAGCGGCGCTACTGGTGGTGTGCGTCTTTGCATCTTCTCACATCTCCATAGTCACCTCATACAATGCAGATGGCCTATTGGCTTGCCTGTTACCCTCTGGGTATGTTATCGTCTCAATAATGTAAGAGGTCAAGCCTGAATGCCCTGCAAATTACTTCGCAACAGATGTCATCAAATCTCGTGTCCAGCTACGGGACGTACCACCCACGGGAACGCCTGTGCAGTACATCGCCCGCGAGGCCAAGATGATCGTGGCCGAAGCTGGAGTGTATGTACTCTCACCGCTTTCTCCTGAGCTTCTTTTCCAATGGTTCACGGATCTATAGTGCAGGCCTCTTCCGCGGGCTGTCACCATCGTGTAAGTGTTAACCGGGCATGGTTAAACTGTACTGTCCAATGCGCTGATATCTGACCTCCTCAGTACTGCGGAGGTGAAAGATTTTGTCGCCTGCTCCCTGATTTCGAACTTACATGCCAGCTAGCATTCCAGCAGCAGCGAGCACGTTTGCAGCTTTCGAGATTACGCGAGGTGTGTTCGACCTGGATCTCTGTCTCTACCGCCTTATGGTTTTTGTAGAGTGGCTGGCGGGAGTGACTGGAGTTTAATTAGATGTGGTCCTTCCACTGATCCTTCGCGCCCAATTCGCGCCTGAGATTTATTCTGGATTATGAAACGAGTAGATGCTGCCTGAACTGGCCGATGCATTGCAGTCTGGCCGGCCCAGGTGCTCAGCGCCCCTCACTGTTACTTACAGGAAGACAGATGTCGGGCGCTTCAACGAACCAAAGGGACCTGTAAAGTCTGGTGATTCCGATCGGAATGTAAGCTACTGTACTGCACAAGCGCCTCAAGAATGCGATTGCGAATTATCACCGGCGTTCTCTCCTATTGTTTCTCGGAGTGAGACCTGTAATCTTTGCTCTCTCGCGGTCTCTGGCCATTGCAGCTGCTATATAGATATCCGAGTTCCATTGCCAGGCGGCAGAACTTTGTCTTTGAACAGAATTCAGACAGAAAGCTGACATAAACTGCTGAATTTGGAGGTTTTGCTCTCTAGAGTTGACCTTATATTGGTTTCCAACTCGTTTATACAGTTTCTGAAGAATTGGATACTAGCGCGTGCGCACGTGAGCGCGTAATATGGAGGCAGTGTCCATATTTGGCTGCGTTCCAGAGAATAAACATCCTTTGCATGCTCAGAGTCAGATCGTTGCTGCTCGTTCCTTGGTCTTATCGATTGATCGACAGCGCTCCAGTCGCTCGCCGAGGTCTCCATTCGCCACCGAAATACTCTCAGGCGCCGTTTATCGGCCTCAAAAATCGAATGGCGGAAACTCCGAGCACGGGCGATGTGCGACCTCCATCGCCATCCTCAGCAGGCCCTGTGGCAAAGAAACCACGATTCGGGCCGCGGGACCAATCTAATGCCTCTTTAAAGGCACCAAGGCAAACCAAGTCGCAAAAACGAAGAGCGCAATGGGCAGCGCTCCCAGAGGCGTGCTCGTCCGACGACGTTTTGTGGCAGGAGATCAAAGAGATTCTCGGGGAAGAATACGTTACTACGGCACTGGAGGAGGGCACCGACCGGAAGTCGCCCTTTGAATATCACCAGGAGCTGGAAATGCAGGTCGTTGCTTTATCTTCGTCAGGTATGTCTGTCGACCATCGAATGCGTGTCAATGTTATTGAAAGCTCCTATAGGTACTGCGTTGGCCACAACTACAGAATCCAGTCGTCCTTGGGTGGTCGTAGTACCCTTCGCGCTTCCTGGGGAGACTATACGCGTGCGGATTTTCAGGGACGCGCGTATGCATTCAATGGCGGACCTCCTAGAGGTCGTCACGCCGAATCCCGAACTCCGAGATGATACTCGCGTGCAGTGCAAATATTTCGGTAGCTGCGCTGGATGCCAGTACCAAGTACGTCCGATAACTTCTTTTGGTTCAGTGATCCTCATTGTCATAGATGCTGTCGTACGAGAAACAGCTGGATCTGAAGCGGGATGTCATAGTCAAGGCTTATAAGAACTACTCGAGTACGTCCTTGTCCCATGTGCTCTCGATGTCGCTGACTGTCTCAGATTTGCCGCAGGCGTCGATGCCGACCATTGCATCCACCATGCCGTCGCCCCAGCAATATAATTACCGGACCAAAATCACCCCTCATTTCGATGCGCCGACGAAAGCGCAGCGCCATGATTCGGGGAATCCGCAAAACAACACGGACCGCCCCGATTGGTTCACCATTGGCTTCAACCGTGTCGGCACACACAAGGCTATGGACATCGAAGTAAGCCTTGATGACTTTCATAACCTGACGGTGGCTGATTTGGTCAGGATTGTCCTATAGCTACTCCCGTAATCAGGGAAACACTACCAGCGGTCAGAGCCAACGCCATTAAGTGAGGAACGCAATCGGATTTCTACTTATCTATACTAAAATCTGGTGCATAGAAATTTGTACACTTATAAGCGCGGTGTCTCTCTGATTTTGCGTGATTCTACGCCAGTCCCAACCACGGACTCCGATATGGACACTCTTGCGACCCAGCTGGAGGAGACTCACGTATGCATCACCGACCACCGCGGCAAGGTCCGGGAGAAAGTCGGCCAATGGATCTTCGAATACCCGAACGGTTCATTCTTCCAGAACAACAACTCCGTTCTGCCTTCCTTGACCGACTACGTCCAGTCACGCATCTTCGACTCCGCAGGACACCCCCCTACTCGCCTTGTCGACGCATACTGCGGCTCGGGCCTCTTCGCAATCACCCTCTCGCCCCACTTCGAAAAGGTCGCCGGCATCGAGCTCTCCGCCGAATCAATCCGCGCGGCGATGAACAACGCGGCGCTCAACAAGATTCCGGCGTCCAAGATCTCCTTCCTCGCGGGCGACGCGACGGACATCTTCCGCACCGTGGGCGACTTCGTGCCGCGCGAGACGGTGCTGCTCATCGACCCCCCGCGCAAGGGGTGCGACGAGCCGTTCATCAAGCAGCTGCTGGTGTTCCGCCCGCGGACGGTGGTGTATGTGAGCTGCAACGTGCATACGCAGGCGAGGGATGTGGGGATGATCGTGGAAACGAGTGGGAAGGATGGACGGGGGCAGTATGTGCTTGAGAGCTTGCGCGGGTTTGATCTGTTTCCGCAGACGGCTCATGTTGAGAGTGTGGCCGTGTTGAGGC